TTGTGCCTTAGCCAATTGATTCATCGTGGTAGTAAGCTCAGCTATCGCTTTCCCGTGATCATGTAATTCCTTGTGCAAGTGGATAATGGTAGGGTCACCTTGAGGCACATTTGCTCTACTCTGCCATGCTGAAGAAGTGTCTGCCATTTCATCAAGTACATCACATGCCTCCTCATAAGAAAGTTTCATAGAATTGCCCCCGGCCAATTGGTTAACAATGCATTGATTTGTAGTATTTATGCCCCGGTAGAAGGTTTGTTGGATCATGGCCTCGGTCATATCATTATTTAGGCACTCCTTCACCATCGTTCTATACCACTCTCAGATCTCATGCAAAGGTTCCGTTGGCTCTTGCTTGAAGGCTAATATTTCATCTCGAAGTGTCGCCATATGCCTAGGAGAAAATAATTTGGCAATAAACTTATCCGCCAACTCATAACAAGTTGTGATGGAATGGTTGGGGAGTCTCTCGAGCCAATCCAATGCCTTTCCCCAAAGTGAGAAAGGGAAAAGTCTCAATCTCAATGCATCCTCGGACACATTCGTCTGTTTGCTCCCACAGCATGTATCTACGAACCCCTTGAGATGTTTGTAGGCATTTTGATTTGCAGTGCTCGTGAAGTACCCACGCTGCTCAAGTAAGGTCAATATCACATTGGTTATCTGAAAGTTGCCCGCCCGGATTCGGGGATGGACAATAGCACTTGCATAGCCCTGGTTCAGCAATACTCTGGGAGCCACTCTTGGAAGAACCGGGGGAGGGTCTGGAATATTGTCATTTGGATTAGCCTAGATAGATACTCAACTTCATTCCTAGCTCCCTGTGGAAATCGATCCTGACCCTCATATCGGGTAAAAGCTATCGCTTCCAACTCCACACTACTAAAAAGTAGGAAGAGAGGGTCGCAATAACTTTTACCCAATATGAGGGTCGGGATCGATTTCCATAGGGAGCTAGGAATGGAGTCGAGTATCTATCTAGGCTAGAAGTGTGTATTTGTTCCAAATGTCACTTCCATACATTTTTGGGTTTTAGACTATAAACTACTATCATCAAACTATTAATTAAAACTAAATTATGCTACGAGATAATTGCTAAGTTGTATCTAATGGGAATAAGGGCACTAGGGTCGTGACATTACCTAGATGGCTAATTAACGGGTAGATGTTACTAAGGTTCGATTGACATACTTGGGGCTTATGCTATAACCGTTGCACAATTTTACCCACTTTCACACCTCTCGGTAGAGAGAGTGATTTTGCCCAATTGACTCTCTCGAGACCAAATGGGTAGGCAAATTAGCTCAAGCAACTACGGTTCAAGTTGGGTAATTACTCTCTCGAGGTTTAACCCTTTAATTAGGGCTATCAATTCTCTTGAGTCCATCCTAATTCCTTGTTGGGTCAATTTTGGTGACTTAGGCTCTCTTTCTTAAGAAGAGCCAAGTCAACTTAGCACAAATCAGTGTTTGCAACTACCAATTCATAGATTAAATCATAAAATTGACTCAAATAACAAACACCATAGTCAATCTAACAATAGATGGCAACACCCATCAATTACCCACACTAGGGTTGAGCCACAACCCTAGCTAATGGGTTTAGCTACTCTTGCTTGAAAGAGAAAATAGAGAAATAGATGAAGAACAAGACATATTAATTAAATGTTAAATTAAAATACAAGAATCTATCGTTAATTTGAAGCTAAGACGCTAAGAAATGGCTACAGATCAAGTTCCCACGAGCGCAGCTAAGTTCTGGATATATCTGATGACCTAAAAATGGTAAAATGTTCTATTTATACTAGGCTGGAAAAATTGGATAAAAATACCCCTGCGGGGTCAGCGCGGGCCGCATAAAATGGACTGCGGCCGCTCTAGGCTCTTGGATTTTGATTCTGGGCTCTTTGACTTGGGCTCCACGGACCGCGTAGAATGGACCGCGACCGCGGAGGCAGCTATCGCGGTCCGCACAACCATGACCGCGGACCGTATTGGCATTTTTCCTCTCTCTAAATATCTCTTCCGTGGACCGGTCAAAAAGGTAGTGCGGCCGCGGAAACTTCACCGCAGGCCACACAATGTGTAATGCGGTTGCGTTGCCTAAGCCTAATTTTTGTCATCTCTCTGAATCTCTCTTCCGCGGACCGCACAAAAAGGCAGTGCGGTCGCGGAACCTTCACCACGGGCCACGCAGTGTGGACTGCGGCCGCGTTGCTCTAAGCCTGATCTTGCCATCTCTCTGAATCACCTAAGCATGTAGTACAAGTTGCAAATAAGAGATAAGATAAGTAGACATGTGAAATTAGGCTAAACGTGATGACCATACATACTAAAGTAACTTAATTAAGGCATAAAAAAGAAACTACTTAGCTAAAATTGGATTTTCAACATTTAGCCAGTGTATGCACTGGTCACCTTGCGTACACGACCTTTACATATTGTAAATTACCATAGTCGTACCAAATCCTAAGGGAAATTTCCCTCACACAAGGTTAGACAAGTCAATTACCTCAAACCACGCTCAATCAATCAATTAGAAGGCCTTTCACTAGATTTTCCATCTCTGAACTGCTCAAATATAGCCAAAAATAATTACATACTATAAATATAACTATAGGAAACTAATCTAAATAATGAAATTATGATTTTAGCAAAGAATTGGAAAATCTCCCCAAAAAGTCAACCCGGGCCTGCGTCTAGGAATCCGACCAAAATTATAAAAATCCGAACACCCATTCGATATCGAGTCAAGCTATAAAAGAATTATCCAAATTCGAACTCATTTAGCCTTTCAAAACTCATGAATTTGGTCTAAGAACTTTTATACCTTTTTCCTCAATTTTTCAACTCAAATCCTTAATTAATTGAAGAAATCGAAGATAGATTAGTAGAATTTAATTAAAAACGAGTTAGAAGCTCTTACCCCAAATATCCCTCTGAAAATTCTTCAAAATATCATCTCAATCCGAGCTCTTAAGTCCAAATGGTGAAAAATGACATAAACCTTCATTTTGGAATTTAAGTTTTGCTACCCAGTAATTTACACTATGCGATCGCGAAAATACCTACGCGGTTGCATAGAACAAAATTACCATCAACTCAAAAGCTTACACGCGAACGCGGAGTATCGGTCGCGAACGCGGAGAGGACTCTTCCCAAAGCCATGCAATCGCGTGCATCCATTCGCGACCGCATAGAGTAAAGCATCCACTACCCAGGTCCTCCCTTCTTCACTGCAAACGTGGAAACTGCCACGCGTTCGTGATTCACTGGCCTTGCAGATCGTGTATGCATTCATGTGATCGCATAGAACAAAACCACTACTACCGAATCTCAGAGCTTCGTGATTGCGTTCCCCCTTCCGCAATCGCATAAGAGGAAACCAGAACTGGGAGAACTAGAATTTCTGCAACTCCAAAATGATCCGAAATGCATTGAACAAGATCTGAATCACCCCCGAGGCCCCCGGGACCTCAGCCAAGCATACCAACAAGTCCTAAAACATCATACGAACTTTGTCGATCCTTCAAATCACATCAAACAATGCTAAAACCACGAATTGCGCATCTATTCAAGCCTAATGAACTTTTGAACTTCTAACTTTCACATCTGATGCTGAAGTCTATCAAATCACGTCCGGTTGATCTCAAATTTTGCACACAAGTCCTAAATGATATTACAAGCCTATTTAAACGTTCGGAATCGGGATCCGACCCCGATATTAAAAAATACACTTCCAGTCAAATTTTCCAAGAATCTTCCAACTTTCTAACTTTCGCCAATTTATGCCGAAACGACCTATGGACCTCCAAATCAACATCCGGACACGCTACTAAGACCAAAATCACCATACGGAGCTATTGGAACTGTCGAAACTCCATTCCGGAGTCGTCTTAACACAAGTCAAACTACGGTCAACTCCTACGACTTAAACTTTCAATTTAGGAACTATGTGTTCCATTCCACTCCGAAACTCTCCTGAAACCGACACCAAGCACCCCGACAAGTCATGTAACTATAAAATAAAATAGATGGAGCAATAATTAGGAGATCGGGGTTCATACTCTCAAAACGATCGATCGGGTCGTTACAGGGAGTAAAATAATTTCTCTATTATTTGAATGTTCGGCTGATCAAATCTTAGAGATCATATCAGTCTATAAATTAACAGATTAAATTCATATCAATGCAGCCTGGCACGTGATGATGCAGCCTCTTTCCAAGAATCTATCGTTGATGAAGTTTGGACTTGCAAATCTGAGTGCTAATTAATTATATTATCTAACATTTGTATAATAGTCAACGAAGTTACTTTTTACGCGGCGTGTTTATGTGACCTTTATTTTTGTTGATTAATGTACACATATTAGAGAATAGAAGTAGCCAAACTTCATCAATAATAGATTCTTTTTTACGCTAGTGTACTTATGTTACCTTTATTTTCTATCTTACACATTTTCAATGAGACATACAATATGGATTGGCTTCTAAAATTTTAGATGCAGTGGCAAATATGATTTTAGATATTGTCGTTTTCTTCATCTTTTTCAAGAGAAAAAAAAATTCCAATTTATGGAAACAGTAATTTTTAGTATCTGGTTGATTAGGTCAAGCACAAAAAAATATTTTCACCTCTTCTATTTTCTTCTCACACGTGAGTTGATACAGAACCAAAGCTATAAATAAAGAAGAAAAAAGCTGCTTGTTAAATTACTCACAACGAGCTAGTCATTGTGAATTTACGTTAACCGATCAAAATAGGGAAGTAGTTTAAAATATTTGTATCAATTTGACATGATCAAATCATGTCAGAATTTTATAAATAGATTATGACAAATTCATGCTAATTAATGCAGCGTCACATGATGCTGCAGCACCTCCATAATTAATGACCTCAATCTCGAAAAATATCATTCATTTTCAGACCCCAGAAATCTAGGTATTATATATATATATATATATATATATATATACTGCACAGTTATGTAGTAGTATATTGTCTTCTGTTTCTCGTCAGTTCATTGATATTTTCCATTCACAAACTCTGAACCAAGAAAGAAAAACCGATGAAATTCTCAAAAATGTGTTTGTATTTTTCAAATCTGTATTACACGGTTTTGTTTTGCTTTCTTGTTCTGGCGATCTTCCCTCAGCTTGTGGTTGCTGGTTCACCTGTCAAGTATCTTCCTGGATTTGAAGGACCACTCCCTTTTGAACTTGAAACAGGGTAATTAGTTTTGTTCATTTGCATGTCTTCATTAATTAATTGGAAGTTGGTTTTAGTCTTAACATTAATGTAACACTATATATACATATACTTGTATACATGTATAGAGATGAATTTTTTCTATATTGACGTACGATTAATCCTAAAACTAAGTTGTATGTCAGATACATAGGAGTCGGTGAAGCAGATGAAGTGCAGCTATACTACTACTTTGTAAAGTCGCAGTCTAATCCAAAGATTGATCCTCTTATTCTTTGGTTTACCGGAGGACCTGGTTGCTCTACGTTAAACGCCGTTGCACTTGAACTCGGTAAACCATATTCGTCAATTTTAGTTATCCTTTTATCGCCGGGTCCCATATTTGTTGAAGTTTATGCATAAAATTAGAGGTGTCAATTAAATGGGCGGGTTGAGCTGATTTTGGGCGGATAAAAATGGAACTTTTTTCACTTTTAGTCCGCGTCAGAAATTATTTATGTTCGGTAATCGAAAAAATGTATAAAATTTATATAATTTTTGTATATAACATACAAAATGGATATATATAAAAAAATATTTTTTCGGCTATTATTTTGAGAGCGGTTATACAGTATTATTTTCTCATAAAAATTGGTTGAGTCAATAAATAAGCAGGTCAATGACCCGTCCAAAAATAACTTGGATTGAGATGTGCTCGGTCAAGTTAGGCTAACATTTGGGTCATAGTCCAACCCGCCCAACTCTTACCAAGATTTAATGAATGTGTATTACTTTTTTATGAATTGTTTAATTATCAAATAAGAATTTTTTTTTCTTTTGTTATAGTCATATATAACATATCATACAAAAAAATTAAGATATTTTAGCAAAGTTACTTATAGATCAATTTGGGCTAAAAATCAGCCCAACTTTTGATAGATTAAAATGGGTTGGGTCAAAATGGGCTGAGTTCAACAAATGGACCGGTCAATGACCAGCCCAACCTTGAATGGGTTGGGCGGGCCAAATGAGTTTGGGCTCAAATTGCTGCCTTGCATAAAATTTACATGACTTTGACTAATTTTTGAAAACATATTGCAATGTCGAAATCGTAGAGATGAGATTAGGGTTTTGAGAAGAAGATAGAGAACCGACTTTCATTTCTTCTCTATAAAAAGTGAATTGAATAGTCTAGAAAATCTATTAAAATATCTATATATATATATAATGGGCCTAACCTGGATGCCCTTAGTTAACTTATCTGTACATTAAATAAAAGGAAGCCCAAATCAAGTTTTGTGTTTGGGCCCAGACGCCAAGTAGTCTTTCATCTCATCCCCCCCCCCCCCCCCCCCCCCAAGTTGAAGGGAGTGAACACCTTCAACTTGGCTAAATGCTGCTAATGAAGAGGTCCAGACAAAGGCTTAGTCAGAATATTATCAGGTTGTTTTCCAGTGGAAATGTGGGATAGAGAAATCAAACCCTCTAAGAGCTTTATCCAAATGAAGCGGCAATCCACCTCTATGTGCTTAGTACGCTCATGAAAAACTGGATTCTTGGCTATGTGGATGGCTGCCTGGCTGTCACAAAACACAAAAACAGGAAGAGAAGCAAGCACACAAATATCAAAAAGTAAGCGAGTTAACCATATTAATTCAGCAACTACTTTGCTCAGTGCACGATACTCTGCCTCAGCAGAAAACAAAGAAATAATTGGTTGTTTCTTAGACTTCCACCCAATTAAACTATCACCTAAGAAAATACAGAAAATAGATTTGTGTGTATCTACACAAGTAGCCCAGTCATTGTCAGAGTAAGCAGTCAAAGAAAAATCAGAAACTGAGGAATAGAACAAGCCAAGGTCAACAGTCCCTTTTAGGTATCTTAAGACATGTAGAGCAGTTGTCATGTAAGGCACACGAGGAGACTGATTAAATTGACTAAGGTGTTGCACTAAAAAACACAAATCTGATCTTATGTGAGTAAGGAATAGCAATTTACTAATCAAACTTCTGAGATACTGGATTAGGAAGTAAATCTCCAGAACCTGGCAATTTTAGATTCAAATCCAATGGACAAACTACAAAACTAAAATCGGAGCAATAATATTCTTTGAATAAGTAAAGGATAAACATCCTCTTATTTAAGAGTACACCACTAGGAAAGTGGCTAATTTCAATCCCCAAAAAATAGTGCAAAGGTCCTAGGTCCGTAATCTTAAATTCAACATCCAAAAATAGTTTAAGAGCAGCAATTTCATATAAGTCATCCGCGGTGAGGACTATGTTATCCACATAAACAGCCAATATCACCAAATTGTCAGGCATACCTTTAACAAATAAGGACTAATCATTAATGGAGTGAGTATATCCTCTTGTGCATAGAGTTTGGGACAACTTGACATACCATTGCCTAGAAGCTTGCGCAGCCCATAAAGAGATTTCTGTAGTTTACAAGCCAAAGGAGCAAAAGTGGAGCCAGACACACTAGAAACTGAAAGGCCAAGAGGAATTTTCATGTGGACTTCTTTATTAAGATCACCATGAAGAAAGACATTGTTTATATCTAATTAGAATAAAGACCACTATTTCTTGACAGCAACAACTATTAAACATTTGACAATAGACATTTTAACCACGGGAGAGAAAGTCTCATTGAAGTCTATCCCTTCCACCTGGGTATCTCCCCTAACAACCAGTCTCGCCTTGTATCTTTCAACACTCTCATCAGCCCTATATTTTACTTTATAGACACACTTACACCTAATTGATTTCTTCCCTTTAGGTAACTCAACAATTTCCCAAGTTTGATTGGTCTCTAAGGCCTCAAACTCCTTCCTTATAGCTTCCTGCAAGCAGGAATATGTGCAGCCTGAGAGTAAGAAGAGGGTTCTACTTCTGCATGTGGAAGAAGTACAGTTGTACCAGAAAAGGAAGAGCGAAGTTGATAGACATAATCTCGCAAATGAGAAGGAAGAGAATAATACCTAGTAGATTTTCTAACTGCCGGATTAGTAAGTAAAACTGGGGATGAAGAAGATAAGATAGAAGGAGCAGAATGTTATTGTTGGCCAAAAGCAGGAAGCAAAGGAGATAGAGGAGGAGACAGGGAGCCAGATGGAGCAAAATCAAGGGGAGAGGAAGCATCAGGTATAATAGGTGGAGAAGGAGCAGCAGGGGAAGAGGAACCAACAGGTAAAGAAGGAACATTGGTGAAGACATGTGAATGGAAATGAGTGTCATCACAGTACACCTGAGGTTGAGCAGGTGAAGAACGTGGCACAGATGTGGAGAAAGGGAAATTATTCTCATGGAATACCACATCTCTAGAAATGAAATATTGCTTAGTCTGCATATTATATCCTTTCTTGGCAAAAGGGTATCCAAGAAACACATGGTGTGGCTCTAGATTTAAATTAATATCTTTGAGGTATAGGAACAGTAGCATAGAATAAGTACCCAAAGGTCTTAAGGTGAGAATAATTTGGAGGAAAACCATACAAAAGTTCAAAAGGTGATTTGTTATTTCGAATTTTGAAAGGTAATATGTTAATGATATAGGCGGCTGTAAGTAAACAGTCCCCCCAGAACCTAATAGGAATATTAGATTGAAACATCAGTGCCCTAGAGGCCTCAAGTAAAGTTCTATGCTTTCTCTTTACCACCGCATTTTGCTGAGGAGTATGAGGGCAGCTAGTTTGGTGAATTATGCATGATCAGAAAAGAATGGGACAGCAGAGCTACTGCCTCCTAGTTCAAGAGCATTATCACTTCTCACTTTTTAAATAGTGACATTAAGCTGAATTTGAATCATTGCAATGAATGCCTTTAGTAAAGAAAAGCATTACTCTTGGACCCCATAAGATGAGTCCAAGTAGACCTTGAGTAGTTATCAACAATGGTACAAAAATATTTAGAGTTAGAATGAGTAGGGGTGTGGTAGGGTCCCCAAGTATCTATGTGAATCAACTGAAAAGGTTTGGTGCTATATATGGTACTATTAGGAAAAGGAAGCCTGGTTTTCCTAAACAAAGGACAAATATGACAAGAAAAAGATTGTTTATCAGAAAGGACATCGGACAATACAAAAATAGTTTTCATTCTCATAAAAGGCACATGTGCAAGTCTATATGCCAAAGCACATCTGATTTATTCATAGCAGTTTTATTGCAAAGTGAATTATGTACAGGTGTAGAATGTGAAACAGATGAAACATTTACAAGTGAATGATCAGAAACACTACTACATAAAGACGCTAAGCTGCAGATTGTGTTATTTAAAAGTTGGACTTCAGGAAAAGTATGATGAGGTGCATCCTGTTGCACCAGCTTATAAAGCCCATTGTCCAATTTACCAAGTTCCAGAGGCATCTTCAGAGAAGGGCCCTGTAACACACAAGAGTAAGGGCCAAACTGGACAATGCAATGTAACTGCTTTATAAGCTTTGACACAGAAATCACATTATGATGAAAAGAGGGAATGAAGAATACATTGTGAAAAGTGATAGAACATGTTAGAGCAAAAGAACCAATGCAAGTCACTTTTGCTTTATATCTATTAGGAAGTGAAACAAGTAAAGGTATACTGAGTGTAGTGATATCAAAGAGAAGATCTTTACTATCAGTCATATGATCTGTGGCACCAGCATCCACAATCCATACCGAACCAGAAGAATGTGAAAACATACAAGAAATAGAAGAACCAACTACATTAGTATGCAACAAGGAACCAGCAAAATTGGCAGAAGCTGCAAGCTTGGATTGTGGACCAGATTGACCAGAATCTGACACATGGGTTTGTTGCAGCAAGGTTATCAGCTGTGAGTACTGCTCCTTTGTAAGACCAAGCACCAAAGAACCCTTTTCAGACTGAATTCCACCCATCGGAATAGTAGTCTCATTCATACAGGCATTGGCCACCATCCTTTTGCCTTTAGTGAACTTGAAGTTTGGCGGGAAACCATGGAGTTTATAATATTTGTCAATAAGATGCCCAGGTTTCTTGCAATATTTGCAGAAGAGATTGCCCTTTTTATGATCAAAATTAACCCTCTGATTGTATAACTTTTGAGTAGAAATTAGCTAAGCTTGAGATTTATTAGAGAAATTCACATTGACAGATGATGACTCTAGATTAAACTGAGATGTGGAATTGACTTGTCTCTGCCTCTCATCTTGGAGAAGAATGTTGTATACAGTATCAAGAGATGGTAATGGATTCATCATTAAGAGATTACTTCTTATACTCACATATATTTCATTTAATCCCACAAGGAATTGGTGTACTTTATCTTCTTCCTCTTCCTTTTGAGTACCAGACTTGGCAGGGCGGACACAAGACTTTGAATGTTACTTACGCATCATCTCTAACTCATCCCATAATTTCTTAAGTTTGTTAAAATATGAGGCTATATCTGAGGAACCCTGAGAAGTAAAAGTAGTTCTTTCTTAAGTTCAAAGACTTTGGTTCCATTCACAACACCATATCTAATCTCCAACTGTATCCATATACATTCATCAGTTTCACAATATTGTACAGATTCAACAATAGTTGGGGTTAAGAAACTGGTTATCCATGATATTACCATGTTAGTACATCCGTTCCATTGTTGAAGTTATGGAGAACTATCAGGTGGTTTAGGATAAGTTCCATCAATAAATGCAATCTTGTTTTTCGCAGACAGGGAAACCACCATACTCTTTTTCCAACCTCCATAACCAGTACCAGAGAAAGGAAAAAACACCAAGCACGACCCAAGAATATCAGAGGAGTGAAGATGCAGAGGACTAGAAGGGTCAGGGAAGTATGTAGAACTAGAAGGAGTAGAACTATCAATTCCCGTCATATTCAATATTTAACACACAACAACAAGCCCCTCAGAATAAATGCTTGCAAAAAAGGATAACAGCCCAATATGAGAAATGACTTGCAGTCTAGAAAAGAATTACTTATGAGCAATAGATCGGAATTACCCCCTTCTTCAGCACTTGAAGAAGTTACATCCTTCACATATCAAAGACAATCAATTTTGAAGACGAAGCCAAACCAGGTATGAACCACAACAAACCCTAGTTCAAGAATTCTGAAAATTCACCACCAAAACTTGGAATCAAGAAGACTTCAGCAACAATTGAACATCCTCCACTCGATTACAGGGGGATTAAAGAGAAGGATCACAAAAAATTCAAAAAATAAATAAATTTTTGACGAGAAAATAGTCTCACTGATGAGACTACGAAACCCGACCAAATATGGTGAAGGTTAGTATCGGACGAACGAGAATGACAAGATCTTTCACATCCGGTAGCTCTGATACCATGAAAACATATAGCAATGTCGAAATCGTAGAGATGAGATTAGGGTTTTGAGAAGAAGATAGAGAGAGAAGTGATAGAACTGACTTTTATTTCTTCTCTGTAAAAAATGAATCGAATAGTCTAGAAAGTCTATTACAATATCTATATATACAATGTGCCTAACCTGGATGCCCTTAGCCAACAAATCTGTATATTAAATAAAAGTAAGCCCAAATCAAGTTTTGTGTTTGAGCCCAGACGCTTCATCTCAACAATTTTATTGATGCTTAATTCTCAGTTAAAATTTTGATTATTTATGTAGTTTTGCACTTTATGAATGTTGCTTTCTGATAATTATATTTTAGCCAATGTCAATGATCAGATAATTGTTACACATTTGAATTAATTATCATGAACTAAACCACGGGGTATACTTTCGGATAGAAGGAAATGTTTTCTTTTTCACATTTTTAAGTTTGTTTTCTTTTGCAAACCCTTTTAATATAATTGGTTTTGAATGAAACTATTTTTGCCCGATTTTTAAGTTACTAATATATGATAAAATTACTTAAACAAAAATCAACAGGACCTATGATGTTTGATGATAGAGAGTATAATGGTAGCTTGCCAACACTGTCTTCCAATCCATTTGCATACACAAAGGTGAGAGATAAATTAATACTATGCTTTGTGGTAATATGTTTTTCGTAGAAATGACACCAGATAGTCACTGTAAAGGGCTGATATTTATGAATTAGCCAGTGTATTCTGAATTTCAGTTTTTCAGTTTATTTTTCTATGACAAAAATGTCGTGAAATTTAGATTTTTAATTTAAAATTTTAGAACAAAATAAATACTGGCTAATCTCTAAATAGCGTCCCTGAGAATAGCTATGTGTGCACTTGCCTCTGCTAATGAATGAAATTTTAGGTGGCAAACATTATATTTGTAGATTTCCCAGTAGGGACTGGATTCTCGTATGCAACTACAGTAAAGTCAAATCATTCAAATAATTTACAAGCAGGTGATCACGCTTATCAATTTCTTCGTAAGGTAAGTTTAGACTTCATTAATGAATTTCAATTTATTTATTTTCATATGTACTTATCTTCACATGAAAAGTTTGAACTCATGTGGTTTTTTAATTTACTAATTTTCTATAGTATTTTACAGTGGCTATTAACTGAGCACCCGGAATATATCAATAATCCTTTCTATGTTGGTGGAGACTCATATAGTGGAATTACTCTTCCTGTTGTTACCCAAGTGATATCATATGGTAAGAAATTAAACATGAATTTTGGTTTATGCACTGACAGAGTAAATATTTTTTTTTGGGCCAGTGTACAGTTTAACCTATAATAGCGTGTGTAACATATATCCTTGCAGGGATTGATGCTGGAATCAAGCCATGGATCGATCTTAAGGTTGGTAATCCTTCATCTATTTTAGTTAATTATAAGAATAAAGAATTCAAATACAAGCATAATGATAGGATCCTTGGCGGAAACACAAGTACACAACATATGCTTGTAAAATAGACAAATGCGACATCAAATAACATGAAGTAAAAACGTTATACCAAATTAATGATATATTATTGGAAAGCAATATAGTTGCAGCTTCCACAAATCACACAGAGTTATTTGTTGAAGCGTTTGACCATCTTATATAAGAAGTTACTTTGTTAGAATTAGTATATTTATTTATTTTCTCATGTCCGAGACTGATTCTGTTTCATTTGTTAATCACATGGAAATTCTTTCTTAATATTGGTAAGACTCGAACTCATGAATACTAGGCTGAATTGTTTGACTATTTCATCTAAAAGGTAAAAATATTAGAGAGAACCCATTTTTATTTATTTGATTTTACTCTTGAGTAATTACTCTTCAATTAAGTTAGTTATGAATCGTCCACTAAATGGTGGCAGGGATACATACTTGGGAATCCAGTAACAATAATTCCTGATCAAGATAACTATAAGATCCCTTTTGCTCATGGGATGGGCCTTATTTCTGATGAATTATACAAGGCATGGAAACTACTCTTTCACATTGCTTCTTTTCTTTCAAGTTTTTGTTATCACCCACCAATACTTAACCTACTCTACTAATTAAGTGGATTTGATTATTTTCTTAAACAGTCATTAAAGGGTAACTGTGGAGGAGAGTACAACCATATTAATCCAAGCAACACACTCTGTTCAAAAGATATGCGTACTTTCAATTGGGTTAGCGATACACTTTCGTCTGATTAAATATCGATTCCTACCTGGCCAGTACTGTTTAAAGTTTAAACTAAACAAAATAACTTAAATCTTAATAGTTAACTTGTGCAGTTGCTTAAAGGAATTGTTGCAGCTCATATTCTAGAGCCCAATTGTGACCAGTCGTTGTATGGCTCAAGAAGATCGTTGGCTCGCAAGCTCCCTCTAGAGCTTAACACTCCTGCTAAACCTGGAGTAAAATGTCTAGTAAGATATATATTAAGCATCTTTTTTCTTCCTCTACTACAACGTCAGCATTTTGAAACAAATTCAATTTGGCTAAACGACTAACATTTGGGACCTGACAAAGTAGGGCGCCGTGGAGTAACAGTCACTTTTAAGCTCGTTATTTAAAATATTTATATTTTACAATGTATTTAAAGATTAGCCAATTTACCCAAATTCCAGGACTAAGTAGCTTGAATTTGGAAATTCAGGACTTAGTGTCCTGAATATTTGAGCTGCTATAATTTGAAATTCAGGACTAAGTGTTCTGAATTTCTGAACTACTAATTTAAAATTCAGGACATAAGATTCGAACTTCTGGACACAAATTTCGAACTTTAGGACACGATGTCCCGAAGTTTGAACTTTGAGGTTTAAACTCTAGGACGTCGTGTGCTGGAGTTTGTGCAAAATTAGCTAATATTTAAATATATTGTAAACTGTGAATATATTTTAAACAGAATGCTTAAAAGTGGTTACCTCATGTCATTTCCACGACAAAGTACTTGTTAATATTTTCTCATTTTCCTTGTCGATTCTATTATGGATTGAATGTTTTGTTGCGATTTTACCACTTGACCAAATATTTACGTTAGTGGGTGACAGGGCAGGGGCGGAGCCAGCCTTTCGGTCATGGTTCGACCTAACTCAATAACTTGAATCTAAATCTTGTATTTGTCTTAAGAAATTTATTGGATATATATAAATTATTAATTTAGAATGCAATAGCTTAAAAAAACTAGAATCTCGCACTCATTAGCTTTAAATCTTGCCTCCGCCTGTGTGACAGGGTGAGTCTGTAGTGTTGTAATTCAGCATGTATTTCGCATATAAAGTAATTGGTGCTCCTGTTGTATTTTATAGGGTGATTGGCTACATCTCTCTGAGATTTGGGCTAATGATGAGAATGTGAGAGAGGCTCTTCATGTTCGAAAGGTATGAAATTTTATTAAGAAAAGAAAAGGTTCAATTTGGAATACTGATGTTGATGACTAAGTTAGGAGATCAAACACGTACAGGGGA